TTGTGAAAAGTGGGGAAGGAAGAAAATTGTTGATCGTGTGCTTGTATGTGGATGATTTGATATATACAGGGAACGATTTCAGCATGTTTGAAAGGTCCAAGCAATCTATGATGTTGGAATTTGATATGTCTGATTTAGGGAAGATGCATTATTTTCTCGGCATAGAAGTAGTGCAATCAAAAGCTGGCATTTTTATCTCACAAAAGAAGTATGTGCAAGAGATTCTGAACAGATTTCAGATGTCAAATTGCAATTGTGCTGCTACACCTACTGAAGTAGGCTTGAAACTTGTTCGAAATTCGGATGAAAAGAAGGTTGACAGCCAACTTTACAAGCAAATCGTGGGGAGTCTGATGTATTTAACAGGAACGAGGCCTGATATCATGCATGCTGTAAGTTTGATCAGCAGGTATATGGAAAATCCTAAGGAGAGTCATCTCTTGGCTGCAAAGAGAATTCTCAGGTACTTGCGAGGTACTACTAGTTTTGGAATTTTCTACAAGAAGGGAGAAAATTCAGATCTGATTGGCTATACAGATAGTGATTATGCTGGAGATATTGATGATAGAAAGAGTACTTCCGGCTATGTCTTTATGCTGGGTTCTGGAGCCATCTCATGGTCATCAAAGAAACAAGAGATAGTCACCCTATCAACTACCGAAGCAGAATATGTTGCTGCAACAACATGTGCTTGTCAAGCAATTTGTCTTAGGAGGATACTTGAAGGGCTGAATTTTGTGCAGGAAAGGGAAGTTAATGCTACTGTAATTTATTGCGACAACAGTTCAGCTATCAAACTGTCCAATAATCCTGTTTTACATGGAAGAAGCAAACACATAGACGCGAAATTTCATTTTATCCGGAATCTCACAAAGGATGGAGTGATTGAACTTCACTACTGCAGAAGCGAAGACCAAATTGCCGATATAATGACCAAGCCATTGAAGCTGGTTGCATTTCAGAAGCTCAGAGCATTGTTGGGAGTGTGTGATAAACTGAATGTTTGAAAACTTTCAGTTTAAGGGAGAATATTAGAAATATTAATTTATTATATTATTTATGTTGGTAACTGATTTGTTTTGAGTTTGTCCTAGTCTTTAGGGATATTTGAATGAGTAAGTAGTGGGTGCTGAATTTTAGGAATATATTGTTAGTGGCTTACAGCTTTATTAAGCAGTTTGTAATTCTTGTTATGTTAACGGATCAATAAATAAAACAGCAGTTTTCGGTGCCTCTGTACTCTAAGTTAACATTATTTAATGATTGTCGTATGAATAAAATAAAATAACTATAAATGTTTATATTTTAAACATTCCAATTGATACCAATCATTCCTAACTTGCAAATAATTTAGTTGAATCGTTGTGTTGCTACTTGCTACACCCTTTGTTAGCACGTCGATTGATTTGCAAAAGATATGTAAGGTACGTAGGCGCACTTATCAATCTACTATCTAATTTTTCTTTGAAGAAATGTTGGTCAATTTCAATGTGTCTTACTAATTTATGTGCAATACCGATAGGTGATTTATGTTACAACAACTTTATATGACTATCTCAAAATCTTCTAGCACTGTTTTATCTTTAATGATTCCACTTCACCGTTAGATCAAACAATTACACATTGCTTCTTACTCCTTCAAACAACAAGATTTTCACACTAGAAAGTATAATAGCATGAAGTAGATCTACTATCAATCAATGAACTTGCATAATCAACACTAGTGTAAATTTTCATACTTGGACTTCCAACTCTTTTAAGCAAGAGTCCTCTTCTTGGAGTGACTTTGAGATATTGTAGAACACGGTCAACAACTTGCAAATGTCTCACTCTTAGATCATATTTGAGTTGGGTCAACAATTTGCAAATGTCTCACCCTTAGATCATATTTGAGTTGACTCACCATACAGATTGTATATGCCAATTTCGACATAGTGAGTCAAATAAATCAACTTTTTCACTATTCTCTGATATTGACCCTTATAAACTTTAACATTTTTCTCCCCATAGCTCATCTTATGGTTTTGTTCAATAAAAAAATTAGTAGGTTTGCATTCATGTTTTCTTGTTTCTTGCAAAAGATCAAGCACATATTTCCTTTCAAAAATAAAAATGCATTTATTTAAATGAGTTATCTCAATTTTCAAGTAGAATACATTTCAAATTTCACCGATAATTTTTTTTGTAAGTAGTTATCTCTCACTTAAATTATCTCCCATAACAATAATACCGTCAGTATATAGTTCAGTTTTCTCCTTGTATATATTTAAAAAATAAAGTGTGATCTTTTTTACTGCTTATATATCTATGGTGGTTGTTTGGATGTTCTAGAATTGTTCAATTGTTCGCTACCTCTGTTTTATTTTATGAATTTAAGTTCCTTTTCTTTCTCATTCCCATCCGGTCAGAAGTATAAGTTTAGAAAAATTACCAAATTTTGTATGTGTGAATGTTTTTTATTTATTTTATTTTATTTACAATTTTGCACGTCTGAATTTATACTTTTGAACTCGTAGAATTTTTTAGAGAAATTTCACTCAATAACTCGTAGAATTGAGTGTGATTTTTAAAAAAATCATTTGTGACTTCTAGTCCCACTCATGCATGTTAACAATTAGATTTTAGTTTAGTGTTAAAAAAATCGTGGTGCTTATACGAAGCAGTAAAGAATTTGGAATCATAACTACCCTTAAATGATATGCAAATGAAGATATTTTGGGCTTCTTTGAATGAGTTCTATTATAAAACACTTTCTAAAAATTGGTTTTAAGTAAAAAAAAAAAATTGTTCGATAAATTTGATTTTGAAAAATGTCTTAAAAGTGGAGGATAATGGTGGGATGACAGTGTCAAAAATGGCAGCGAAGGGTGATTGCAACGGAGGGTGTCACATCGTTCCATCGTGGCAGGGATGACTTTAAAGATGGAGGATAAAAAATGATGACAACTATGGAAGGGTCAAGTAGTAGACTAGTAGTGTTGGTGATGACTATGAAGATTCTTAAATGACAGTGATGACAACAATGATTGGTGTTTAATTGAGGCGATGGTGAGGTTCAAAGAGATGACAATGGTGATGGAACATACAATGTTTGGTGGTGAAATAAGGTGTGTTTTTACTAGAAAAGTTAGGGGTGTTACTGTGTTAGATAGTGATAAATAAGAAAACAATTAGGAAAACAGAAACAAATTTGATTGGTAGACCATTGTGTCACACCACCTTCACATAACATCAGGTCAGGAGTATAAAAAATCACCAAATTTTATGTCAGAATGTAGATTTTTGGACAATTTTGCTTGTCTGAATGAATGTATACTTCTGTAAATGTAGAATTTTTTTAGTAGTGAGAGGGTGGGTAAAGTTGAGCCCCTATTTTAAGGGATTCTTGACTTATCCATATTTGAAGTGGGCTGGTGTTTTCCGAAAAATGCTAATAATGTACTCGTTAATAATGTACACAAAATAAATCAAATCCAAATGAAACTAAACGATCTTAAAAACAATACATCATATTGGATGACACGTGAACTATTGAACTTTATATTCATCCTCTTCATTCACAATGCAATTTTGGCTTCCCTCAAAATTCTCGAGACAAATGTGTCGATATCTGAGCCCTCTAGTAGAATCCTACAAGAGAGTAACCCGTGGCCATGTCTAGGATACGCATGCATGCAGGGACTAGACTACCCACACTTCCATCCTCCTCAGCTTCCTCTGCAAGAACTTTTTCTTCAGCTGGTATAGGTAGTTGTCCTTTCGGTTTGAGAATCACATAGGGATGTGATATCTTTCAATACCACTCATGTAACTCTGTACAGTTTTCCAACCATGGAGTGGTATTTCAAATCCTTGATAACTGTCTTGCCTTACTTTTTGTCCCAACATTCAACTCTTCATCCATTCAGACGTGAGAAAAAACTCTTTTTCTGTTCGCATGGTTTTAAAAAAATTAATTTCTGTGACTTCTAGTCCCAATCATAAATGTTAAAAATTAGATTTTAATCCAGTTGTTAAAGGATTTCGAATCAGAACATCCCTTGCATGGGAAGAAAATGAAGATAATTTGGACTTCTTTGATTGCGGTCTTGTTTTTCGTACTATATTATAGCACTTTCTAAAATTGGTTTTAAGTACAAAAAAAATTTGTTTGATAAATTAGATTTTGAAAAATGTCTTACAAGTGAAGGAAAATGGTGGAATGACAGTGTCAAAAATGGCGGCGAAGGGTGATGGCTACGGAGGGTGTCACATCGTTCCATCGTGGCGAGGATGACTTTAAAGATGGAGGATAAAAAATGATGACAACTACTAAGGGTCAAGTAGTAGACTAGTATTGTTGGTGATGACTATGAAGATTCTCAAATGACTATGATGACAACAGTGATTGGTGTTTAATTGAGGCTATAGTGAGGTTCAAAGAGGCAATCATGGTGAAAGAAGGTACAATGTTTGGTGGTTTTGGCAACCAAACAAGGGTCTAAGATCTTTCAAAAGACAAAACTGAAGGGACTATAACCAAAAGCAAGTGTACATTAAGAGGTTAGAAACAAATTAATCCTTGTAATAATATTGTCTTATTTTACTTTATTTAATCACTTATTACAAATGTTTATATAAAATAGCAACAGTTAATCTAGATGGATAATCTCATTTATTACTAAAAAACAGAAAAGATAATTAATGGTCTTGGCTTACATTTCAATTTTTGTCTAACCTTTCAATTTTTAGTAAATGCATGTGTTGTTTACGTTATTGTCTTTCTATTATTTGTCTGTTTCAAAGGAAGATGATTTCCTTGGCAGTGTTCAAATTCACTCTTCCAACCTTCCAAACCCCTATATATTAAACTGTGGCCGGCCACAATTATGCATGGTTGCTAAGTTTCTCTTCCCTTTTTGTCTTAAGCATTTGGAGTCACTAAACAATCCTCATGCATTTAAACATTTCATGAACCAATCACAAACCACCTTGCTCATCACTCTTCACAACCTTAAGCCATGTTCAACTTCTTCAAAAGATTGTTCTGCCTTATATGTTTTCTCTTCCTATCCTTTGATGTTTCTCTGTGTTTTTCTTCTTCTTCACTTGATGACTTCCTCTTTTGTTTGGAGAATCACAACATAAAAAACTTCACTGTTTTGCCTTACAGTGATTACTACAAAATTCTCAATTTTTCAATTCAAAACCTTCGGTTTGCAGAACCTACAACACCTAAGCCAATAGCAATAGTACTTCCAGAGAGTTTGGAGCAGCTACAGAAAAGCTTAGCATGCTCTAGAGAATTCTCTTTGGGAATAAGAGTGAGATGTGGAGGACATAGCTATGAAGGTACTTCCTCTGTTGCCGGTGATGGTACTCTTTTTGTCATCATTGACATGATGAATTTAAACCATGTTAAGGTGGATATGGAGACAAAAACAGCGTGGGTTGAAGGTGGTGCAACATTGGGAGAAACTTACTATGCTATCTCTCAGGCAAGTGATGTATATGGGTTCTCAGCTGGGTCATGTCCAACTGTAGGAGTTGGGGGACATATCGGGGGTGGTGGATTCGGTCTGCTGTCTAGAAAATATGGACTTGCAGCCGATAATGTGCTGGATGTGTTATTTGTCGATGCCGATGGACAATTATTAGACCGCAAAACCATGGGAGATGATGTGTTTTGGGCTATTAGAGGAGGAGGAGGTGGTGTTTGGGGAATTGTGTATGCATGGAAAATTCAGTTACTGAAAGTGCCACAAATTGTAACTAGTTGTAGTGTACCTAGAACAGGAGCAAAGACAGATATTGCCAAACTACTGAACAAATGGCAACATGTGGCACCAAATTTGGAAGAAGATTTCTACTTGTCATGCTTGGTTGCTGCTGCAGGCTTGCCTGAAGCTGAAAATGTTGGAATATCAACAAAATTTAATGGTTTTTATCTTGGTCCTAAGTCCAACGCTATATCTATATTGAATCAAGATTTTCCTGAGTTGAATGTTGTAGAAGAAGAATGTAGCGAAATGAGTTGGATTGAGTCAGTTGTTTTCTTTTCTGGACTAAATGATGGCGCTTCTGTTTCTGACTTGGGGAATAGGTACTTGCAAGATAAACAATATTTCAAGGCAAAATCAGATTATGTAAGGAGCCATGTTCCACTTTTTGGTATCGAAACTGCATTGGGTTTTCTAGAAAAGGAGCCCAAAGGGTCTGTTGTTTTGGACCCTTATGGTGGGATTATGAATAATATAAGCAGTGATTTCATTGCTTTCCCGCACAGAAAAGGAAACATTTTTTCAATTCAGTATTTGGTTTATTGGAAAGAAGAAGACAATGACAAAAGTAGTGATTATATTGATTGGATAAGAGGATTCTATTTTTCTATGACTCCTTTTGTTTCACAGGATCCAAGGGCTGCATACATTAATTACATTGATTTTGATCTTGGAGTAATGGAGGTGATTAGTGTTAATGATGTGGTTAACCCAAGGGTTTGGGGTGAAAAGTATTTCTTGAGTAACTATGATAGACTTGTGATAGCCAAGACTTTGATTGATCCTAACAACGTTTTCACCAATGAACAAGGCATTCTTCCCATGACCTTTGCCAGCTCCAATGCCTAAGTACTTTGTACACAAATGTTCTAGGAAAGTTTATGTAAACTTATTGCTTTAATGTGTCGTTGTCAATGATCTACATGAATTTAATATGAAGTTGAGTTTACAGAATACTTAAGCTACTGCATAATTTCTTTTTTCTCATTTGTTTTATATATTGGACTTGAAGTAAATTCAATAATTAGTTCATGTTTACATTTTCCCTTTGGCATGTAGTTCATGTTAACTTTGTACTTTGGTTTTTGGCCAAGCCAACTGCCATGTTTAAAGATATATGCTAGTTTGATGCAGACACAGTTTAAGTTTTTATTTATTGGAGAAAATGCTGATATTGGTCTCACAAAAAAAATTCAAAGATCTGCTTAAATTTAATTGATGAGAATGTTGGGTAACTTCTATTCTAAGTTACTTGCAAATTGAGAAAATTGAGAGAGAGAGAGAGAAGTATTATTTTATTGAAATTAGAATAGACATACAATGAGAGAGTTAATTATACGATGAAGAAAACATTAACTAACTAACTGAAAACTATGACACTTTTGTGTTGCAAGTTACACTTGCAAACACTTTCTAACTGTTATCAACAGTCATATAAAAAAACTTAATTAACTCCTAATATCCTTCCTAATTCAGATTTTCCAAACTCATTCCCATTAACCCTATTAGGCCTTCAAATCTTGTATGCTTAAAGAGTTTGTCAAGATATCTATCAATTGCAACTAATCTTACAATGCTCAATGCTCAACCTCTCTTTACCTACTTGATCCCTAAGGAAATGATACCTTATTTCTATGTGATTACTCCTACCATGACTCATAGGATAGTTTGCCAAATCAATTGTTGACTGATTGTCACTAGCAACTTGATTTGCACAAGTTAGTAACGTTAAACTCTTTAAGCAACATATCCAACAAAGTGCTTCGCTTGCAGCATAAGACGTTGCAACATACTATGCTTCACATGAAGACAAAGCCTTAATACCTTGCTTCTTTAAACTCCATGAGATTGATGTTATTTCAAGCATGAACAAATATATAGTTGTGCTCTTTCTATCATTTTAGTCACCACTCCAATCTAAATCATAATAACCATACACCTTGGCCTACATTATTGTGTTTTATTGATTTGGCATGAGCACTCCATGGCCAATTGTGCTCCAACGTACCTTAGGATTCTATTTGTTGCAAGTATATGACATAGACTTGGCTTTTCCATGAATCTACTAACTAGTCCCACACTATGACAAATATCAGGCATTGTACTGCAAAGATGCCTCAATGAGCAAATGACCTGCTTGTACAATGTATTGTCCACTAATTCATCTTTCGCCCCATCCTTCAATTTGATGTTAGTATCCATAGGTGTGTTTGTAGGAATACAATGGCTCATATTGAACTTCTTAAAGATGTCTTCTACATATTTCTTCTAATTCTAGAAAACTCTATGCTTTGTGTTCACAATTTCCATTCTTAGGATGTCGGCCAAATTTCATAAGTCTTATATCTCAAATTCATTCTCCATTATTGCTTTAAAATTTTCCAATTCATCTTCATTAGAACATGTGACCAATAAATCATCCACATAGAGACATAAGATGACTTGGTCTTATTTACTTTATTCTTTCACATATACTTCATATTTTGATGTACCCTTGTTGAAACTTAGTTTGATAAAGAAGTTATCAATCCCCTTGTTCCTTTCACATATCCTGGTTGGTGGGTCTGTTTCACAGGGTATTCCTACTGTCGTCATACCTCCGGGCGGAGGTGCTGTGAATGAAAATGGTAATATTGCTGGTGGGAGTGTGTGCACTATGCACGGGGCTGATGTCCCTCATTGGGAAGATCACCAGGATGACGTCTTTTCCATGAAAGATATGGACGGTGGTTTGACAACTGAAGCTGACAAAAGGTTTATACTGATCGAGGAGAAGATGAAGTCTTTCGAGAATCAGAATTCTCTGGGTCTTGATATGTCAGATCTTGGTCTAGTTCCTGGGGTCAGGATTCCCCCCAAGTTTAAGGTACTAGATTTCGACATGTACAAAGGGACGACCTGTCCTAGAGTACACATCCGAGCGTATTTTAGAAAAATGTCTGCATACTCCAATGATGAAAAGATGTTAATGCATTTTTTCCAAGACAGTCTGGCAGGAGCGTCTTTGGAATGGTATATGGGGCTTGAGAGAACTCATATCCGCAGCTGGAAAGAATTGGCCGAAGCCTTCGTTCGTCACTATCAGTATAATAGTGATCTAGCACCGAACATGGTACAATTGCAGAGTTTGTCGCAGAAGAATACTGAGAGCTTCAAAGAGTACGCCCAGAGATGGTGAGATTTAGTTGCGAAGGTGCAACCTCCTATGGTGGAAAGAGAATTGATCGATATGTTCATGGCTTCACTTCCTGATGTACATTTTGAGAAGTTGATAGGATGTGTGTCTGCAGGATTTTCTGATCTGGTAATGGCTGGTGAAAGAGTCGAAAGTGGGATTAAGTCTGGGAAGATTCCAAATGGTGGTGGATCCTCTTCGGAAGGAGCAAATAAACCATATTCAGCAAACCTTAAGAGGAGGAAAAGGGATACAAATGCTATTTCTCTCAAGGGAAAGGTAGAGCGCAGTCTCGTTATCATCAACAAGTTGCTACTATGGCCATCCCAGCCGCACCTCAGCAACAAGTTAATGCACCACGACCTTACGCTGCTAGACCAAGAATGGCTGACAGACAGTTTGAGACTCCTCCGATGTCGTATTCTCAATTGTTACAACATTTATTGCAGTTGCAATTGGTTTAGAAGAGGACTTTGGCTCCTCTCACTGGTACACCGCCTCCTAGTTATGATGCAAATGCCAGATGAGATTTTCATTCAGGCGCCCCGAGCCATAATATTGACAACTGTAAAGCCTTCAAGCACAAAGTTCAGGACTTGCTTGACTCAAAGGCTATCAACTTCACCAACGAGGGGCCTAATGTGAATCAAAACTCGATGCCGAATCATAGGGTAGCGAGAACCAATGTTGTTATTGAGGGAGAAAAGTTGAATCTGATAACTGATGTTGAGGATTTGAAGACTCCGTTGAGTTTCTTGAAGGCTAATTTGTTGAAGAAGGGAGTGTTTCCGGGATGTTCTAATGACTACTCAGAATGTGAAGCGCACCCTGAGGGCTGTGATCTATTGAAGAAGGGTATTCAGAGAAAGATTGATGAGGGTTGTTTACAATTTGACAGAGTTGTAAGAGAAGACGCTGAGGATAAGGTGAGTAATGATGGAAGCGAAGTTGCTACAATCTCTATTCCATACCGGACAATCAATATTTCAGCGCCTACTAGGCCAGCGCCGGTTATCATTACTGTTCCTGGACCTGTGCCGTACGAGAGCACTAAAGCCATCCCATGGAACTATGGGGAAGAGGTGTTATGTAATAGGCAGAGACAAGAATTGACAGGATCTTCATGCGGGAGTTCTTTGGTTGAGAATATAGTTGGTGCCGGCGGTATCACTAGAAGTGGCAAGATCTTTTCCCCACCAGAGGTTAATACTGATAGGAATGACATAGGGAATCGTAAGGCAGTGATTGAGGAGAATATCCAACAACAAGTTGGTGATAATGTTTTTTCGAAAGACGCAGAGGAATTTATGAGACTCATTCGAAAAAGTGACTACAAGATTGTGGATCACTTAAATTAGACTCCTTCGAAGATTTCCATTATGTCATTATTGTTGTGTTCGGAGGCACACCACAACGCTTTATTGAAAATCTTGAATTCAACATATGTACCCCAAGAGATTTCTGTTAATCAGCTGGAGGGGGTAGTGGCTCATGTGAATGCTGGAAATGGCTTGGGTTTTACAGATTTGGATTTGACTCCTTCCCGGAGAAACCATAACCATTCTTTACATATATCAATGAAATGTAGAGGGTCCCTGCTATCGCATGTCCTGGTTGATACATGATCATCCCTCAATGTGCTACCAAAGAAGGCATTGATGAAATTAGATACTCAAGGTTTGATATGCACGCCAAGTGATTTGGTTGTGAGGGATTTTGATGGATCTAAAAGATCAGTTTTTGGGGAGATCACGATGCATATTCAGGTAGGACCAGAGATCTTTGATGCAACTTTTCACATTATGGATATCTAGCCAGCATACAGCTGTTTGCTTGGCCGACCTTGGATACACGCTGTGGGAGCAGTTACTTCAACGTTGCATCAGAGGTTGAAATATATGGTGGAAGGGAAAGTTGTTACAATATGTGTAACACCCAAAAATTTGCTCATCTTTTCTTGTGTTCTTGGCTTATGTTTCTTTGCATTATCATATTCATGTTTTTCATAGCATTTTTTCTTGGCAGGGGATCAAGGTATCATGGTTTGTTTCTTAAAATAAGAAGGTTGTATTTCTTCAAGTTCAAGCAAGGTGTTCTCTGTGACTTTGTGGTATTCTCAATCCTAGAAGTTCCTCATTGTCGCTACTCGAAAAATGACACAAAGTCGCCATCGGATTTTATTTATCCTAAGGAGGGAAAGGGAAATAACGATAAAACCTTTAGGAAAAAAGCATTTTCATCGCAATCAAGTTTTAGGGTTCGGGAGTCGGTTATGCGAGGGGAAGGTATTAGCACCCCCTCGCATCCATCGTACTCGATGAGAACCTTCTAAGTTGTTTAGATGGAATGGGTGTTTTACTCTAAAAGTTTGCTTAAAAGAAAAGAGGGGTTGATTTTTTTTATTAGAGTGCTCGCCAAGGATTGTGGCCCTTGTGCCTACGTATTCTCACTTAAAAGAAGTGAAGAATCAGAGCTCCGCAGTTCGGAGGCTTGTGAAATTATTGTATGTTGGTTGATTTTAGACCTTGAAAAAGAGTTTTCGGATTGATGCCCTAAGGCCAAAAGAAGTTTGATGAGTTGATATTATTTTTAGGGTTTTGGGAAGAAATTATTCTTGGTTAGGATCACACTAAAGACTTTGGATAAAGATGAATGTTTCGAATAACCAAGTCGA